AGAGAACAAAATCAAACAAGTTTGTAGTAAACACATACCGATTCACATCATTATCCTTGAGAATTCTCCAGAAGCAAAAATGTCACTATTATACCCACAGTAGGGGCTAGAGGAGTAGCTGCTGAAGGTGGCAAATCCAGAATAGAACTCTCTGGTCAGTTTCTATTACTATGTTTGTCTGAGAAATATTTTCCTCAACTGTTCTTATATTCCATTTCAACAGGGAAAACATAATTTCACAAGACAAATCTCATAAGCTTTATCAGTATTAGCACAAGGGTAATATGTAAAATCTTCAATGTTTTGGTTCATTTCACTACCGTGACATGCCAAACTAGCTGGTCCCATTATACTACTGAGCTAATAAAATCCAAAACAATTCTCATTTACTTCCCCTCTTTCTTCCTCTTTATTTATTTTGCCATTTTGTCAGTGAAAATCACACTTATCTGTCAAGGGAATCCCTTGGCTTTTCGGAAGAGCTCATCTGAGATAAGAAACACATAATTTGCTTGAACCCACGAGGTGGAGGTTGCAGTGAGCCAAGATTGCACCACTGTACTGCAACCTGGGCAACAGTACAAGACTCTTAAACAAAAAAAAAAAAAAAAAAAAAAAAAGAAAGAAAAAAGAAACACATAATTAAATATTACGAGAGAGGACACTTTTGAAAATGCTATCTCCTGTAGCAGCCCTAACAACTTCCCTGAACCTGCTAACCAAATATCTAATGAAGAAAAAGAGAAAATTCGTAACACTTGACCATAGAGCCAATCTCCTGCAAAGTCCTCAGGGAGTTCTCATTAGCTACAAACCAGAGAGCCATGTGAGTGCCTTAGAAGTATGTGGTACATGTTTTATTACCCAAAACAGAGAAAACCTACCCTTATGAAACAGGAAGGGATGTAATCATTCCGCACTTTAGCATGAAACTCTATGTATTTGCCAACCAGAACATTGGGCAACAGCCCTGATGCAGAGACTATGACGGAGGTGGCCAGAGTGCTACAGGACGTTCCCAGTTAGACTTCCCTTGTAACGGCCTCTCTCAAACTACCACTTCAAACGACACATTAAAAATCACAACAGGGTAATCATGTAAATGGTCATTATACCTCCACTGGTAGCTTAAGGGACTCTGGTAGTTAAGATTGCTGCTTTTCAAATTCTCCACACAGGTTGACTATCAGAGACCAGAGAATGATGACAGAAGCTTCTAGTTCCCCCCAGAAAGCTGCCTTTATCTAGTTACAGGAAACTGAACTCAGTGTAGGGCCCCTGCTACTGAACTAAAAAGGTGATTCTAAAATACCCAAAATAATAGCAAGGGCAAGTTAGACAGTCTGTTTGCTAACCCAGGTTCAGAAAGAGATTTCCCTGTTCTGGAATGGATAAACAATCAAACAAAACCATAGTAAAGATCTATTTAAAAAGTCCTGCAGAACATTCCAAAGACTCAGTGGAAGAAAAACCATGCTTTAAGAAATATCTTAATATTAACCAGAAACCAAAGAAAAACTAGAAAACTGGCAACCACAATAAGAAGAGCAGACCTCTATAAACCTGGAGCAGAAAAATAAGATGATGACAACAACGATTATAATAATGGCTCACAATTACTAAGTGATTCTTCTGTTCTAGGTTCCATTCCAAGCAATTTACATATATTAACTCATTTAATCCTCCTAATAATTAAGTGGGTACTGTTATTATCCTCATGTTACAGGGGAAGAAATGGACTGAATCACAGAGAGGTATAAATAACCAGACATCACACAGCTAAAAAGTGACAGGGTAATTCTACTGCTAACCACTAGACAACACCACCTGACACTCTATGGCATATAACAAGTTGTGATTTTTAAAAGATTATATATATATTAGGCTGATATAAAAACAGAATTGGGAAAGATTTCAGAAAAATTAAAAATGCAAAATGGAATAAAAATGTAATCCAAGAGGCAGTAAGACACAAAACTCACTTTGGAAGAAAAGTGAATCAGCAAAGGGAATAAGCAAATAGAGAAACTCTCCCCGGCTACACAGAAAAATAAGGCTAAAAATGAGAAAGCAAAGTACATGTGTGAGACGTCACACAATATGAATGAACAATTTTCCACATAACCTATGTAGTGCCAAAAGGAGGAGAAGAGTAAATAGGGCTTAACCATTTACCCTCTTGCCTTGGAAAGTTCAAGTACAAGAATGGGAGACAGGAAGAGGCCTGACTGCAATGGATTAAAAACGAATGGTTAGCAATAAACACAATTAATACATAACTGACAGCTCACCATACCCTGCACCTCACAATGCTCTTCAGGGGCCTCCCGCTGCCAAGCTGAGGAGAGGGAGGCACTTCCTGGCCCAGCAACATGCCCAACTTCAAACAGCAAGTGGGAATGCCAGCCCAGGCAGCTGGAATACAGAGCTATGCTCTTAGCCTCTAAGTGATATTGCCTTCAGCTTTATATTATTGAATTTCTTTGAAGAAATGAAAACAAATGTTACTGAGACAATCATCAAAATTATAACCGAACTTTTCTGAAATAAAAACAATACTTCAGTATATGGATCCGAAGGACTGACTATGCTCCAGACAAAATTAATGAAGAGACCACAACTAGACATAACTTAGCACACTGAATTACACAGACCATGTATTTCTGTTGTTGTTCTTGTTGTAATTATTATTATTAGTCCAAGCTCCAAGGTACAACCAAAACAAACTGTAAAGGTTTTAGAAAAGAATAAAAGTAGGCTGGCTTCAGACATGTGTACAAAAATAAATGTCAGAAAAAAAGGGAGCAACATGTCAAAAATTTTGAGAGAAAATATTCCAACCCAAAATTTTGTACTAAATTATAGTTTACATATGAAAGCAACATATGCAAGAGATCCCAAAATAAACCTTGTATGTACTTATCCTAAAATTTTCTAAAAACATATGCCAGTAAACTGAAACTGAATACACACACACACAGACACACACACACACACACACACACACACACACATACACGATTGACGTGTATGTCTCAAAATGTAGAACTCCAGTGTAGAAAAGTCATGACAAAAAAAGATTGAAAATGAGCACCAGCTGAATAAAAGGAGTAAATTTTAAACAACTGCTGGAATTATGACTTGAAAACTGAATGCAAATATCAAAGGTTATCCTTGAAATAACCTAATAAATAATTATCTAGGAGCCTTAAAACACTGAAGAAAGGAAAAATACCCACAAAACCTATTTAAAGATGCATTAGATTTAGGTATCTGGAATTTGTTTTTGTAATATCTTTATGTTTTTATCATCACTAACCACTTTACCAGGTCATTCTGCACTAGCTTCTCAACTTTCACAATGCTGACTAACCATGGTAAGGGGGTAGCTTACATGTAAGTATGTGTACTAAAAGATTTATTTTCAATTCTATCAATGTTAATAAAAATATGGGAAATCATTTCTCAAAATAAATCATGGTTCTACACCAAAATAAGGCAGCTATAAATTTTACCAAATTAGGAAACCAAAGGTATTTGACAAGAAGGGTACATGAGATATCTGAGGTTCATCTTATCCACCAGATGGAATAGCTAAAATATTCCACTTTGGTGCATTAAATAATAATTCTTCAACATTTAAAGCTCTAAAAATTCCTAATGTACTTAGTAAAAATTCATTTCCAATTTTTTAAAAAATGAGTACTATCTTTCAACAAATTAGTTCCATTAAATTGATATTAGCCCAAAAGGAATTCCTCACCTTTAAGAAAACAAAATGAAGATTATCTTTCTTTACAAATACATGAACACAAAAAATGTTTTGGTGGTAGGGATAATTCTTCTCAATTTCTGCACAAACCAACTCCTCCCTCAACTCTCTCTGATAATCATGACAATCTCAGAATTTCTGAAAGTACTGTAAAATTTGACAGTACTTTTTGAAAAGCACTAGTATTCCAATTACTGTTTCAAAAGACTCTTTGGGAAACATTAGGCTTAGATATATAAAATGCATTCTTGTATGTCAAGAGACTTCATGTTGCTTTTTGTTAACACATTAAATGGGTATATTTCTTTTACACTGAGTATGCTGTTTTTAATTTACCCATCTTAATGGCCCACTGAATTAGGGCACATAAAAAATACAAAATTAGATTAGGAAATCTGCTTTACTCACTAAGGAATATGTAAAGATCTATAATGATTCTTGACGCACTCTCTCAAACTGTTATTTTAGAAAAGTGGCTTAAATACACTGTGCATTAGAATTTTATCACGGCAAACCAACATTAGAAAAGATTTCCATTGACTTAAAAACAAAATAGACATTCTTATAAGTGGAAAATCAATCACCACAACCATTAAATGTCACAGCTCAACATTGGCAAGAAGCACAGATAACTGTTAGTTATATACTGCACAAATGATATATGTCCTTGGTTGAGGAAGTAGGTGCCAGGTTTTGAGAAAACTGTACATATATTGATTTTACATTTATTTAATGTGGCCATTTTAAGACACTTTATTCTTCTGATAAACTATGACTGCTTATCAAAAGATTCTATAATTCAGGAGAAACATTCATAACTTGTGTGTGAAAATGAAAACCACTGGCCCACAGAAATCAAGCCCACAAAATCCAATTTTGTGGATTTATGGCAAAAAAGCATTAAACTACTGTCTTGCCGGAACTGCAGTCTAGTCATTGAAGTAGAAGTGGCACAGTAGTAATGATTAAGGTGACACGTCACCCTGTCACAGCTGTTAATCAGCTTAATACTAGTTACATTATTGACATTCTTGTAATTACTTTTCCTAAGGCACATTTGTGCAAAATATATTTTACTTTAATTATGACCAATCAGAAGCAAGTTCAATACTCAGAAAGAATAATCAAGGTTGTCATAATGCAGGTATACAGTAAGCAAGGTGCTGTTCCGATCACCTGGGGCTGGCACCGGAGCAGAACCTTCAGCGTGACCACATCCTTGCCATACCTTGCCATCCTCGGAACACACGCCCATGTGCTCTCCACTTTCATCCAAGCTAATCTGATTTATCTTCACAGGACTCTAAAAAGAAAAAAAGGTGTGTAAAACTTCAGGAAAATATATATCAATAATCAAATGTCTTTGCTCTTTGTAACAGAGTAAGCTCTTTGTTTTCTTCTTAAATAACAAGTTTCCAACTATCTTACATAAAGTGCAGTAGAAACAAACTACGAGAAGAAAAGTAAGCCTACAGCAGCTACACAACATGAGCTTGAAAAGTAGTTTTTAAAAATATTTAGTCTTAAAATGGTTTGTCCTGTTGATAAAATAAATATAAATACACAAAGTTGAATGTGGAATCTTCAACTGGAAAATATCTCAGAGCAAGTAGGCAAAGGTCAGGGCACACCAGACCTCAAAAAGGCCACCCACTGATTGATGCTATTGAAAGATATTTCCATGTGCAGGATGAGACTGCTGGCTACAGAATCCCTTCTCATCTCGATCCCTAAATCACCACACAAGCAACACCCCTGAGATGCAGTCCATGAAAAATAAACTGGCTCCTTAAAGTTCCTAGAATGTTAGAAGAGGAAAGGTCCTTGCAGATAGCTATTTGATCATTTTGTAGAAGAATAAACTGAAGCTCATAGCAGGGAATCAAAACAGAGAAAAGAGAGGAGCCAGGGCTACAACCTGAGACGAACGAAGAACACTGCACGGGGCAGCAAGGAATCTACAAAGAAAGCAAAAGCTGATCTGGGGAGGCACCAAGGCCAGCATGTCCGGACGTCTGGCTGAGAAGTCTGAATTCAACTCCTACAGTCTTTGAAAAAATTCCTTCTGCAAATTGAATATCTTTTGTTAATAGTTTCCTTATTCGGATCTTGGGTTCATCAAACAATATTTTTAAAATATCCATTTTAGTCTTGGCAAATATAAATTCCACATACCTCTGATTGTAATTTTTTTGGCATCTGGTTGTAAGCTGCCTCAAATTATAATTTATTAAGTGTGTGCAGCCTAGGTTTCCTGTCCAATATGGTACTGTAGCCCTTAAAATTGATAGTTAAATTAAAATTCGATAAAACTTAAAAATTCAGTTCCTCTGTTGCACTAACACATGCCAAATGTTGAATGACTACATGTGACTAGTATTGGAAAGCAGACAGATCAGAGAACATCATCACTGCAGTAAGTTCTGCTGGACAGCATTGTTCTATGCTTAGAAAACTGAGACCCAATAATGAAAGCAACTAAGACACCAAGACATCTTTACAAGGCTCTTCTTTACTGCAAGTTACATTCAGCAGATTTTCTTTCTATATACATGTTTATGTAATTTATTCTTGGACTCTGGTATTGAAAAGCTCATGGCCTATCCTAATATTCTGTAAATCAGATTATATCATTTCCAAAGACCTGGCATACACATGAACTGTTATTCAACCCCAGAGGAAAGTAGTCAGCTAAGGCTCGTTATCTCCATCTCACAATGAGGAAAATGAGGCTTCAAGAATTTATGTGAGTGGTCTAAAGCCACAGTGCTACTGAGGGCTAGGCCACACCATAGTATTCCAAGTGCAAATAAACCAAAGTTTCCATTACAACATGTTTCTCACTGAATGGAAACCATTTGTGCCATCACATTAGCAATATTATGGGGGGAAAATATCATACCTCTAAGGTAATAGAATCCTTTCTCCCACACACCTCTATTAGCTATAGAAGGGTTTTTTTTTTTTCACTTTTTTTCTGCCAACGATCAATATTCATTGATTCATTTCCCTGACTACTAATAAACTTAAGCATTTTTCTTAAGTCTATTGGCCAATTAATTTGCTCTTCTGTAAACTGCTTGTGCACTTCTCTTACTCATTTTTTCCTATTAACATGTTTGTTGTTTTGTCAATCTATAAGAGCTGTTTTCTATGTTTAGGGTATGAGGTATAATATTTATCCAGACATTGTATATGTGGTCTCCTATTTTTTGTATAATGGTTACTACTTTATTTCTTACATATAAGTCTTTCATATTTCAGAATTCATTTTATTTTCTTACAAATGAATACCCAGTTGTGCTAGCCCAATTCATTAAGTACTCAACCTTCTACTCCTGAAGAGTAAATATTTATATACATTGACATAATATTCTGAGTTTTCAATTGTGGACTCTTCGTCCATTCCCATACCAATTCAGTACTGATTTAATTATAGAGGGTATACATAGTACATTCTGATATCAAGTAAGTCTCAGTCACAATTTTTCACATTTTCTTGGCTTTTCTCAAGTATTTATTCTTTGAATTTCAAGATCAAATGACCCCAGTGTTGCTAAACATAATGGTCCTTGTTCAATCCTAACTTACTTCACCTAATTGGAGCATGTAGCACCACTGATAACTCCTGGCTTCCACATCTCATGGTTCATTCCTTGTACCTCTTCTTTTTTACATCTATACTCAAAACATCAATATTTTATCCAGGCCATGGAATGACTCCTACATTTTTATTTCCAGGCTGGTTCTCTCCCTATTCCAGACCAATATCTAAGACGGTTTATTTTATGTCTGTACTTGGATGCCTAACATGCATCTCACCTAAAACATACCCAAAACCAAAATCTTGATATTCCCTCTCTGGAAAGGGCTCTTCCTGATGTCTTCCCCACCTCAGTTAATGCTTTCTGCATATCTTCTTCTAGTTGCTCTGGACAAAAACTTTCAAGCCACTTTAGATTTCTGTCTTCATTTCCACCTCTTCTGATGAAATTTATCCAGACTTTGACCACATTTTGCCACCCCTACAACTGCAATCCTGGTCCATCATTCCAGTATGGATCATCATAATGGTCTCCTAACTAGGTGACTTTCTCCTGCCACAAATCTCCTAGAAATCTATTCTCAACAAGCCTGCACAGTGACACTGTTAAGACGTTGATAAGA